TCAGAAGACTGAACAGCCTTCAAAGTATGCAAGAGGTTAACTCTTTAAAGTTGTCCTGACAATATAATTGTCTGTCCAAAGCAGCTGTTTGGATTTCAGTGAAGCTGCATTTGTCATCAGTAGCCACTTCCCTTGAAATTCAAGTAGCATCTTCAGAGAAGTGATTTTTGTCCAGAGGAAAATGACAGAGTGTCAGCTTCTTCCTCCATACACTAACGGTTTTACGGTTGTTTGGGCTTCACCTCATCTGTTATTTGGATAACAAAAATACGAATTATATTAAGGCAATTAAGGTCATATTTAGCTGGGCCCTGGGCCAAGCTGATGTCATAGATAGAAGCTGGCCTTAGAATCAGACACATGATTTGTGATTGGAACTCATTGGCCACTTTGGGAGAATCAGTCATTCTCAACCAGTTCAACCTTACAGAATTGATGTGAGGCTAAAAATGGATGCTAAGCATGGGGGAAAGTGTAGTATTACAAATGAACATGAATGTTGCAGGGCACGGAGAAACCAAGCTGGTAGGTACCTGGGAATTTGAATTCAGTGGAAGAAGGATGCTTATCTCTTTAAAATCTTCACAGGAAAAATAAAACATTGATTATAGATGGGAGAAGAATCAGTGTTCACCCTGAGTCCTTTTTGATTTAGCAGCCTTATAAATCTAATAGATGATGATGATGATGATGACGACAACGATAGCGATCTATTTAGGGAGATAGTTTTAGGTGGGTGATGTCTTTAGAAATCAATAGGATAATGATAGGGTGCTTTGAACATGTGGGCCTTGGGCTTCCCTGTGTGGAAGGCAAAGGACCTCTGGGAGGGTTTAATGCAAGTCATATCAGAACCTTTGCCATCCCGGCAGACGTCAGGGGAGAGGAGCCTCCATCCACAAATTTTCAGCAGATTTGCAGGATGTGGTGGTTTCTGATAATAGACTTTTTGCCACAAACCACAGTTCCATCTCTTAGAAGCCAAAGTGCCTATAGCACTGGCACGGAGATCTGCACTGGAGAATACATGAGCCCTCTTCCTCTCGATTTACCAGAAAAACCAGATGGAAATTTGCACCTTGCTTTGAGGGGGACCTATAGCCTACTTTTAAAAATTAACTCCAGCTGTCTTCCTCCCTCTAAGGAGGTGGGGTTATTTGGGGGTTCAGGCTTGTTCACTTGGTAGGCAAGACTGCTTCTGCTAATTTATCAGTAGCTGACTAGCACTGCAACCTTCCATAGAAGTTTCTATTCAGATCTATGTTGTCATTTTTAAAAATCTGAGTATGAGTGTTCTCAAACTTCTGAATTCCTCGATAATCTAAATACCAGAAATAAGACCTGAATTATTATAAAAGCCCAGGTTCGTGATGAGTCCCGCTCTCCTTTTTTTCCTTTTCTCAGAATCGCCTTCTCCCGTGAACATACCCATGCACGTTCTCACAAATGGAGAGTTTCTGGATGCTAGGGTTGCGCATGCTGGCAGCATGGTGGTGCTCAGGCGTATTCCAGTTTGGAACATTGTGGTAGCCTCTCTTCTTCTGACGGAAGCAAGGGTTTGGGAGGGCTCTGAAGGTCCCATTGAGATGGGATGTAAGAGGGGGGATCTTGGAATGCCAGAAAGCAAGTGGGCTTTGAGGAATGATCACTGCTGTCTTGTTTCATATGCAAAGGAAGCAAAACTTGCTACTCATGCATGATAGAGCAATTTTATAAGGATGCAGGGGCGGCACCTGTGTGTGTTAGATAAATATACAGACATGGATACAGGAGATCTGGGTGCTATGCAAACTCACATGATGGTGCCCACTGCTTGAAAAGAATGCCCACCTCTGCTTTATGTATGGCTTTTTCCTAAAAGCTCCGTGGGCTTCGTATCAGTTGGCTGCTGTGGATATTTTAGCTATCCAGCAGGGGTGACCGGAGGGCAATATTATCATCCACAGAACACACTCAGCTCTACCCATTTGGTCTGTCTTGATTTAATATTGTTCTTGACCATTTCAGTCCCTCCTTAAAAGCGTTTCTACCTCTATAAATGAAACCAACATCTCCACTCCATGTTACTTGTGGGGTAGAAAAGTTCTGAAGCCAAGAACTAGTCCCTGGCCTTAGACCACCAGTGAATTCATGTATAGGTGAATCTGGAATAGGGGGTCCAATGATTGATCAGTTAACTGCTTCTTGGTAGAAAAAAAATGTGATAATTGGAAGCAGAGGATATTAGATAGGAGGGAAGAGATTGTAGATAGGAATTCGGTTTTGCCTTGCTCCAGATTGTTTTTTAAGCTCTCGGCTACTCAGCTATACCTCTTCTCATCGTACTGCAGCAGTGCAGATCAGGAAATAGCCAATGGCTTGCCTTTTCAAATTAAAGCTGATATTACCAGTAGAGCAGAATACTTGCTGAATCTTCAGATGTGAAATGTGTCTAATATTTGCAGTACTCACTTTCCATTGTTGCTGAACTTGCTGCCAAAAATTGACTGATTTCTGATGTATGCCTTCTGGAATGAAAACTGTCAGAATCAGTAATTACTTTGTCACAGCAAGAGCTTTTATGCTGAGTGTTAGCATGCCCGGACATACCCAAACATTTAAAACCAATATATTGCTATTCTTTACTTTTCTGGAGGAGGAGGGTGACTTTAACTGGTGAATCGTGATGTAATTGTACTCAGTTGCAAATTAGGTTTTAGTTGCTCATGAACAAAGATCATTTTGGTTCCAGAAACCTTGTTACACCGGAACTCGATCGTTTACACAACAGAGAAGAATAATTAACATCTTATGATTAATGCAAAATCTATTGTGTAAAATGGGTGGTGTATTTCAGTTCTTATAATTAATAATATAATTAAAAGTAAGTTCTGAAAGACGTTGTAGTGAAATTGTTATTTGAGTTACTCAAGAAATGCAGCTTAGGAAAGACTACATCCGTACCTTAGGGGTACAATGTGCTATGATGTTGTGAAGTGAATATTAATCTGAAAGACTACAAAAAAGGTATTGAAATAATTTAAATATATTTCCTCTGGAGAAAATACTGTATTGAATCTATAATGTATACTAAGTAATAGGACAAGGAAGGGACTTTTTATCCTTTGCCAATTACAGGTAGTCCTTGCTTAATGACTGTTTAACGATGGTTCAAAGTTACAATGGCTTCGAAAAAAGTGCTTTACAACCTATATTCGCACTTACGACCATCGCAAACTGTTGCCCCAGCCCCCACGGTCACGTGATTGTGATTTGCGACCTTTTTTATGACAGTAGTTAAGCGAATCACCCAGTCGTTAAGTGAATCATATGGCCATTAAGCGAATCACGTGGTTAAGCAAATTCTGGCAAAAAAATCCATTGGAGAAGCTAAAAATTGGTTGTAAAATTACGTCCAGTGACGTGGTGACTCACTTAACGACTGCCCCACTTAACAAACAATTTTCTGGTCCCTATTATGGTTATCAAGTGAGGACCACCTGTAATGCTGCACGGAAAGACCACCAGTTAAAATTTATTTATTTATTTTATTTATTTATTAAATTTATCTCTACCCATCTCCCCCTGATGGGGGACTCTGGGCAGCTCACTTAACCCATTAAAACAATAAATATATATACAATCACATAAAACATAAAAACTGTACAAAACGTTACTAAACGAAAAGAAAAAAGAAAAAACCCCAGAGGCTGATGGTTTCCAGAGCTCCAGACAACAGGCCTCTAAGGGGCTAGCCATCCCCACGGTTGATGTCTTCCCTCCCCACCCAGTTTTTAATATTAATTCCTCCAATTAAAACGTTAATGTGGGGTCAGAACTGAAGAACCATATGCTATGATTATAGTCATGGTTATGGTTCTTCAGTTCTGACTCCACGTTGGAGGAATTAATCAGGTCATCACAAGTAGCCAAACATACAATAGCCGCTGGATTGTCACTAATGGGATGCTCAAGATTTGAAGGCAGGGCTGAGGAAAGATCTCTAATGTCTCAGTTTCTATATGATGTCTCTTTTGAGTTTGGATATTAATGGCTTGGTTCGTATATCATGCCAAGCCTTAATACGATTTTTTAAATCCCTTTGTGATACATAGCACACCTATTATGGCTTGTGACATAAACCATCCAATAATTATGTGTGAACATAGCAGTAGCCCAACATAATGAAAAGAACAAATTTCCCTTAACCATTAGTGTCTTCTGTCAGATGGTTTACTCAAATCATTTACAATTTCTTTGCAATCCATGTTCTAGTTTAGCTAGAGAAAACTTTCTGTTTGCATAAATATGCATAAAACTAGTTGACTCTTACATGATAAAGATGACTGTGCTTTTAATACTCACTTTTAAACTGAAATTAACTGTCACTATTATTTTTTTGTTTTTCATTGCATTGTATCATATTATGAACGTTCTGCCTCTGTTGTATATAAAAGACAGAGGCCCTGAACATTTTCAGGAGTCGTTTGCATCAGTGCTGACTGTTGTTAGTTGCTCTAATTTTCAAATGCAGGTTGAAATTTCAGATTACTTGGCAAATCTAAACTCTGCTCAGAAGGTATGTATCAGGAAAGCCCAATGAGACAAACTTTTCCTAACTTCCTACTGCCTTACTCAATCATGATTCGACCCTTCATCTAGAGAAGTTCTGTTGACAAGGCTGCCCCCTTGGGAGTTTGACAGCATTGGGGCAAGACATCAGTCTTTCTCGGTAATAGCCCCCCACCCCTTTTTGGAGTACTTCTTCCCCAGAAGTACAGCTGGCCCTGCCTTCTTTTCTTTAGGAAGGCCCTGAAGATTGCTTCGTTTCTACAGGCCTTTGACCCACAATATGGCTGTTGGGCACCACTGTTTATTTTATGATTGCATCCATGATTACATTATAATATGTTTTTTTTCCCCTGTAGTTTTGGTTGCTGTGTGTTGCCCAGGGTCTTAGTGAATAGGAGCATATAGTAAATCAATAAAAATGGTATTAAATATGCCTTTTTTTTACCTAGGTATATGAGTTAAATGGCATCCCACTGATCCTGGATAACTGCAGCATTGATGACAATAATCCTTGTATCCTTTTTATTAACATCTTAGTCTTACAATGGATAAAAATTCCTTGGCTGGGGTTCAGGTTTGTATATCAATTCTTTGGGGATAATACTGAATTGTTCTGGTGCTTTGAAAAAGGTTGCAAAACCCCATTCTTGAGAAGGATCAATAGAGAGACATATTCTGATCTACTCTTGATTCTTTCCCTGGTTTCCATAGTTGACACTAACTCCAAGACTCTACTCCGCTTGCTATCAGCACCAAAACTGCTTTGTAGTTTGGTGGGATATACTATTTGTCTCAGAATTTTTTCCCCATCTTTATTTTTTTTCCAACAAGAAGTGATGATACACTTTTAATAGAAGGTAATTATTTTTCATTTTGCTTTTTATTCTGGGTTATAATTTCTTAATAGTAAAAGAAATTGATGGAAAACTATAAGATGTAAGTTTTTGCACAATTCTGTGCCAAGTATCTTCAAGAAAAGTTAAAAACAAATTTTCTTTCTTTCTTTCTTTCTTTCTTTCTTTCTTTCTTTCTTTCTTTCTTTCTTTCTTTCTTTCTTTCTTTCTTTCTTTCTTTCTTTCTCTCTCTCTCTCTCTCTCTCTCTCTCTCTCCCTCTCCCTCTCCCTCTCCCTCTCCCTCTCCCTCTCCCTCCCTCCCTCCCTCTAATCTGTTTGGCTGAGTTTTAAATCTCTTATGCTAAGATGGCCTTACCTCTTTTGATGAGTAACAATCAAAGGGAGAAGCTATATCTTTTTGGACAGTTTTTAAACAAATGGGATTGGTTGTAGCTCATTATATCTTATTCTCTAACTTTCTGAATATCCCAGATTCATTGTTGTCACATTAAATTAGGATTAGTAATGATACCTAACCAAACTTGGTCATTGTAGTTAGTCCTGAATCTTTTGCGTCAACTAACATCTGATCAGTCAGCTGAACCAAACAAATTAATAGGTTAGCAGGCTGTTAATCTGTTTTGCATACTTTATTACATTTGACTTTATTACATATTTAATATAAAAATCTGGTATTCTTTGAATAAAAAAAGTAAAAATTTTTGTTCTTTAAAATAAGAAGGCTTGAATTGAAAACTCCACAGGAACAGGATTTTTTTAAAAAAATACTGTTTATGATAGAGTGTGCAAGATTAATTCCCTATATTGTTGCTCATATAAAGTTCCTTAGAATATGGTTTAAAGATTGCGAGAGCCACATTATTTAATAGGACTAATTTTGTCTGCTTTGAAAATTTGGGGGAAGAATTCCAGGTACAGCATCTATTTAAAGCACATATTTTTAGACTTCTGTGTAAGCCTGAAAGAAAACACTGCTGTTTGAATAAGTTGCATTAAAAACATGGTTTCTTTTAATCAGATAACTCATGAAAACAGCTGCATCTTTTTCCTCAGGAAGCTGGGAAGCCTTAAAAATGTGATTGCTTTCTTTATATTTTTTATTCATTTTTATATTTAACAGATTAAGCTTAAATTTAGAATGAAAACTAAAAACAAGATTGAAGTGGCCACACTGAGCTCAAGATGGTCAGTCTCCAAAAGCTTGCTGGGAAAGATAAATCCTGACAGCTGATAAGCATGGGGTCCTTTGGATCTTAGCTGAACTAATTCCTGAAAGCTGTGGAGAATCTGTGCTTCTGGATCCTGATTCCTCACTTCTTGGGCTGAAGGAACCTTAGCATGCCCTCAAACAGTTAGAGTATTGGGGGGGGGGGTCCTTTGTAAATACCATGAAGGTGCAGAAGAACGTACGTCTAAGCTTCATGTCTTATGAATTCAGAGCCAACGTGTAACTGGTGTTTCCTTGTACCAATTTTGTCTTGATAGTTCGAAAGCATTTTGTGTTATTAGTGAAGTACAAATACAAAATAATCCATTTTAATTTTACTGGAATCAACTTTTATCCAGAAAATGAAAAAATGAAGTGTGTCTGTGGTGAGATAAGCTGTACCGGATCAGGAGTAAGGTCCATGTAGCCCCACGCATGGGTGTCTGTTAGAAGCCACTTGGACATCATTTGTGCCATTAGGTCATTCGTGTGGTGACCTCACGGTGCCCATGACCTCATTCCCCCTTCGGACACCTGTGGCCATATTCTGTTCCCCTGCTGGCCAACAAGCTGCCAGGGAGGAAGACCCAGGTGCAAACATCTGCTGATCTTTCCAGCCGGAGAGCCCTGAGACATTTACCACCCCCAAACATGATCTGAGGGTTCAGAGCTTATTCTTTTAACAACTGTTTTATACTCTCTTGACGGTAAAATTGGGGGGGGGGGGAATGGCACCTTAGATATATGAAGGCAGGGAGTGATAGCTAGCAGGCAGTGCAGAGCTGTGGCAGTTCTCAATGAGTTTGTCTAATCCTCTTTTAAAGCTCTCTCAGTTGGTGGTCATCCCTCCATTGTTTGATGATGGGTTAATTATGGACTTTTCTCTCTGCTCAGCGATTTGGCTTCTCTTGAGTCAGAGAAGGGACAGACGTTTGCCTCCCTGATCTGCCTGCAGGGTCCTTAACATCCGCTCCAAGGCAAGAGGGTTAGTGAGGCAGGGTTAACCTTGATTTGTCTGCACAAGACACATGTTTGGTCATTTTTCTTGAGTAAAGCTTTCCACTAAATTACCTTTAAGAGACACTCAGCCTAATGTCCTGGGTCATCTCTGAATCCATTTTTAAAACTTAGCACAATTAATTTTAAAAATACATGTATATTGGATAGTTTCCAGTCTTCTCCTACAGTAGCCTAACTTAGGAATGTTTTGTAGGAAGATCAAGGATTTCCTTTTCCGTTTCTAAAAAGCCTTGGATCACTGTTACCTGGATATGGTTGTTTTCCATTCAGTTTGTCATCATTAATTTCAGCTAGCAATCGTAATATAAGAAAATAAAAGGGGAAGTTTTTAATGATGTGTTTAAAACACTTGAAAACCATCACAGAACATCTTGAAACACAAACTAGAGTATAGCATTGTCCAGGAACAGACCATTTTATTGTTGCTTAGCTATAAATATTTGTAGTTATTTGCTACTACTCCCTGTGGCACCAGAAAAGAGGGTTGTGATCTTGGGGCACTGGTCTAAGATGAGGAGGAGGAAGATGATATCCTCATCTCTGGCTTTGAGAGGTCTCCCCCTGAAGATGCTTTGCACCAGGGCATCTGCTTTGGAGATCTGTGCGAAGATGGAGCAGAAGAGGCAGTGCCACAGTATGTATGTGGCCGTTTAATTTCTTGAGCTCCATGTGGATGGATCAGTTTGGCTTTTATCTCAGCGTTCTTTCCCTCCAAAGGTGAGGAATTGAAAGGGGCCACAAAGGAAGCTCTTTTTGACCCTTGCATAAATAAAATCCCAGAAGCATCTTGTAAGAGGGAAGACCATCTCATTAGTCCGCAGTCTATAAAAACCTAGGGGTTATGCCCAGATCTTTTTGATAATCTGTATCAAATACTTGCTGTATACTTTCTGCTTTTGGCCCGTCAAATCTTAAGAGCTGCCAAAAATTGATCTGAAGGACTTTTGGACTTTCCTCTCCCAGGCCAAGATGGAATTGTTCTTAGGTTAGTGCAGGCATCTCATTCTGAAGACGGGAGTGATACAAAACAACCATTCAGTTCCCTGCAGTTGACTTACCCTCGCTTGTTCAGTTCCCTTGGCACCCAACCATTCAGCGGGTCCTGAATTTTGATACTATTAACAATTAGCTTCTGTGTTTATTGTGGATGTGGGGAAGGGGGGAGCTCATGACCCTTTGTGTATGTGAGTGAATTCTTGACATGATTTCTGCACATGCATTTGGGAAGATTTCTCCATATTTGTGGCTGTATCTTCGAAGCTCCACCTGCTGGGGGGAGGGTTGGGCAGTCCTCTCACCATTCCTCTTGTACCACACCTTGACCCACAGCCTAACCAAGCCCCATTTTCACTTCCTCTGATGTGCCAACCAGCGTCTGCCTGCCTGTTTGCAAATTAGGCTTCTGTCCTTCTTGCCCCCATCTTGCTTTTTTCTCTCTTTCTGTGCACATTCAGAGCGTCCACAGGATACAGTAAGAAAAGTCAAGATGGCGGGTACGATTGTGCAACCAAAGCTCCATCTGGTTTTTGTGTTTGTCACTCACACAGTGCACATGAAAAACAGGCAGAGCTTTGGTTGCACTGTCATGATGGCCACCTCAGCTTTTTCTATTGTATCCTATGGAGGCCCCTGATTGTCCTGCTTAGGAAGTTTATATGGTATCCCACTCCAGTGTATGACATTGGGAAAGACATGGGAAAGATTTTTTGATCCTCTGTTGTATTTGGGGGTGCTAGTTCTCTCCTGTCTTGTGTCTCGGTGTGCAGGTGGGGAGGAGGTCTTCTTTCAGTCTGTGTTCAGATATGTCCTTCCTCCTCTCTGCTCTCCTCACCCCATTCGCTGTCTGTTTCAGGTTTCCTCCCTCTCCCTTTATGTTTAGCGCTGTGTGTTCCCTTCAGAGAGATTTCTTCCTTTTCCCAGTGAATTTCAGGGCCCCTGCAAGAGGGTGGGTGGTTTTCCTTCCCTCCCATAGAGTAGATTCCCTGTAATGGATGCCGGGGAGGCTTCCTCTGTGGATCTGTGCCAACTTCAGGACAGATGCAAGTGGGCTTCCCCCCAGACCACAGGGGGATTGTTGGGGATGTTACCCTTTCGTGGGGAAAGTCCCTTTGGAAGTCTAACTTCTATGTAAACTTACCTAGGAAGGATTAGCGTATGGGTGTGCATGCCAGTAATAAGTAAGAGGGTCCCCATGTTCCTGGTCAGGAAATAAAGACAATGAGTTTTGGATGATCTTGGGAAACCAGGATTAACACTAAGAGATGGCTTTCAACTATTTCTGTTGGGGACAGGGATAAGAGTACAGATGCCTTCGTTGAGCTCAACCCTAGTGGAGCAGCCATGTGGTTTTCTTGACAATTTTGGACTCCAGTTCTGTTCTTGGGGAGGTTCCTCAACCTCTCATGTATCCCTGTGGTTTCTTGATGGTCTCC